AACTCCAGTGGGAGTTGATGACATTTTTGCATAAAGCTTTATGAGGTCCAAGCCAAGAAAGCAATGTGATTTTCAGCCAAGAATCTCACTGTCACTTTTGCCCGAGCACAGCAGCATGCAAAGACAACACTACTTCAGTCTACAATATAACCAAGTGGGCAAGTGCCAGATAAACAAACACATTCTTGTTCTGGTTATGATATACATATACATTTCTCAAACAGTTTTTTTAATCCAGAATCCTCTCCCATTAGGGCAGAGATGAACAAGGAGAGCCATTTGCATCAGAAGGTACCAATGGCAGGACTCTTAAAATGAGCGGCACTTATTTCTGCAAGTAAACAGCCCTCAGCAGAAGTAAGGAACTGACATTCTGGACCAGAATATTTTATTGCACTTGCATGCAAGCAGCAGTGAGAAAGGAATTAAGACATATACGAATAGGTGCATATGTAGCAGAGGCTTTAAGACTGCAAAAATGCGGGAAAGCATGAATTTGGTTTATTCTCTTAGTTGGCTTGCCCCTGGCAACAAAGCAGATAAAATTCTCATGTGAGCTGCTATCTGCGAAGAGAGGTGCAGTGAGCATAATCAGGCTAGGAGCCCCAGAAGACTTGCAGTTGTGGCCTTCCCATTTTATGAGAAGCAGGAAAAAGAGAATTTCTGCTTTAGTAAAAGTAACAGTACTTTTCCAATTTTTAAGAGGGATATCATCCATTTTTTTTGCGCTGACATGAAGATGGATCTAGTCTATCCATGGTTTTCAAGACACCATGGGGACCAAAGAAGCAGATACACGGACACAAAACATAAAATCAAAGACTGCAGGAGGTATTCTGAATAGCTGTTATATATTTTGGGGGAAGACTAAAACTGCTGGGGCGTAAGTACGGTGGGCTACAGTTAGGTACACAGGACCCACAGAGATGATAACTCTTTAGATGCTCCTGCAGAATTGCTTTCGCAATGTCTGGCAGCCAGCATTAAACACAGGGTGACCTGGGGCAAACACTTCTGAAGCTAACAAACAGGACCAAAGCAGCTAGCAGGGGGTGGGTTTATGTACCAGGGAGCCTCCAGCTGTTCAGATACACTAGAGATTACGTAATGGTGCGTGGGATGGCCATATAGAGGTGCATACTCCTGATCAGATTAATCTAAATTTTCTTCCAACCAATGCATAAGAAAACCAGCGCAAAACTCAATGCAACTTGATTTCAGTTATCCAACTTCATTTCCTCAGAGAGAGGAAGAAAGTAAGACCCCCAAACCCTTTTCCTTCCCATTTATTCTTCCTCTTTACAACGAGCTGTCTCAATAGGTTCCTGGAATTGGAAACAAGCTGAATTCCCTACTACAAGTTTATAGGGATAACACTAAACTTGATACAGGAATATGAACTTGTAAGTAACCAGTATCTTGCTGAAGAAAAGTTCTGGAATCCCACTTTTCCCTTCTACTCATGATTTAAATTATTTCTACTGCTTACCTTTTAGAGAACCTAACAGGTTTCATCACCCGATTGGCAGCCTTAATCTAAACAAACTCACTGACAGCACTGTTTGAGCTCATTAGTGTTCTCACCAGATGCTTCTGTCTGTATATATGAGCATCTCCAGTTTTTCCTTCCAGTACATGACCCATGATACTAGCATAGCTTTCAGATTAAAACAAGAAGTCTCAGTACAGCTTCAAATCCTTGCTCTTGTGGGGATTAAATCTGTGTAAGGCTATGACAAAGCATTCCATATTTCTTGAGCTTCTTAAAAGCATTTTTCTTGTTTTACAGATCATTTTAGTGATTTCTGGGCATTTCTCAGGAATCTGTACAGATATGACTAACACGCACACTATCTGCTTTCACAGCAAAAGTGCAGAGAGCATTTGTCACTATAAATATCACACAGGACAATATACACAGATGAAACCCATGTTCGTCTGTCTCTGCACAAAGCAAAGGTTTGACATGAAAGCTGTCAGAAATCATTACAGGGAAGAATTAAAAACCTCATACACTGACGAAGTTGCCACAGCCAAAGTAAAGACCATAAAAACAAGATACGACCCAGCTCCAGCTGTTCAGTGAATGAAAAACTAGAGGGCAGGGAGGCCAAATATGTGGGCTTCGCAAAGAATGCCGCCTTGAATCTGCAAAGCGGGCCCGGATCAGATGTCCTGGTTAGTTCACTGGTTTATCGGCAAGTAACAAGAAATGAAGTGGTGGCAACGATCTCGGCCCCAGCCCATCAGTCACAAAGGTACAAGGCATCCAAATGGAAAACAGATTTTCTGATTCCCTGCACCTCCCCAGAGGCCTGCGCTGCTGTCTGAGGACTACAGCATTCTCCTTTCTTGGCTCATTTACAAGATAAACATATTCTGGCCTCAAATGCTGCTTCTTTCCAACTGCTGGTGAAAACTTCAGTCAGTCTGAGGGATTAAAAGGATGATCCAGGGCACTACTCAATCCAAGAAAAATGCTCATGTGGGAACGCAAAGCCATTGTTGTGACCAGAGGATTTTTTTCCCACTGGGTCTCATTCTGAAAGTCCAGATTCAAATACCTTCTGTCTTTATTCTTTACCCACATTAACCTCCTGCCTTTTTTTTTTTTTTAGAGGGAGTCACACACCTGGATTTAAACAAATTTTTACAGTGCTAGTTAAATACCGCTTTTCTACACTTATGATGACTTAAGATGTGATAGAGACAGACCTCATGTCCAGGCAATGTTGGGCTGGATCAGTATGTAGTTTTAACACTCCCAAACACCTGCAGGAAGCAGTGTTAGTGATCAGGTAGACAGGACCCTTCTTAACTACCCCAGATGTAAATTTATAGTTCCTTATAGTTACAAGGCACCTTATGAGAATTTTGTAGGAGCTGTTAGATCAGCCCCTACCCTTGCAGGCAAGCTCCAGTTCAGCTCTTGCTTTCCACCTTGCTTCCGTGTCTGTCTCTACAGTCTCTTTTGATCCCTGTTCTAAAACTGATGTATCAACTTGTAGGAGGGAATTCACTGACTTCTAACCCAAAATCAGCTGCATTTCAGCACTTGGAGCAGCAGTTCCTCTGTGCTTCTCACGCTGCCTCAGATGGGTATGACCGAGCCCTACACTTGTTCTATAAGCAAGCTTTAAAACACTAGTGAAAGACATTCAGGAAACTGATAGTTTTGATAAAATTAGTAGTGCTACGGACAGATCTCATGTCCTCGTTACTTACTCCCCTCCTCGAACTCAAGACAAGACACATAATTTGACCACTGAGTTAGAAGCTACAACAGGAAGAGGACTAATTTGCTCTGTTACAAAAACCTTCCTAAAGAAGATAATTAAACCATGCACATTAACAAATACAGGCTTTCAAGGCTGAAGAACAGATTAAATTACCGCAGTGACACGGGAACAAATTTTTAGTTGCTACAAAGGCACGTAATTTCACTGACAACAACGGCTAGAACAAACTTTGTCTAACTTGAGTCTAGAGTTGGCCAAAACCCTACAGATCTAGAAACCCTTGAACTTTGGGAAAGCTTTGATCCAGTCCAGACTTTGTGGCTCTGATCCACTGCAGCTGGGAAAGGCCCAAATCTGCTTAAAATATATTTCACAACACATCTTTGCCTGCATTTTTTTCAGATAGGTCATAAATACCACATACAGAGCCATTTCTCCTCATTCACAACACCTACTAGCAGAGCCAGCTATTCCCATCTCCAACCCAGAGTGCTAAAAAAGAAAAAGATGCAAAAGCAAGCTTTAGATCAGTTGCTTTGCTACCAAGGAGTAAGAAGAAAGCTAAGGTACTAAAATCTGCACAGTCAGAATGTTTGGAAGAAATTCAAACTGGTGAGAAACTCTATGTGACTTGTACAGTGTGGAGCAGCTTGCAAAGCACAAAACGAGCCATATCATTCCCTTCTTGTTATCCCCAGAAAAAAACAAAGACTCCTTTGACTACGGTTTCTAAACAAGCGTATTATACAAGTCTACTTTTATTTTTTTTCCTTTTTTTGTAAGGTAACAGCTTCATCCACTGTAGTAGGAAAGTTCTGATCACAAACCACGTAGGAAGGTTGTGGTTTTCGGATGACCTAGCTGAGAGTCATGAAACTAAGTAAAATCCAACTGGGGAAAAGGAGTCTGACAAGCTCTTCTGGCTGCATTTACCACTGATAATTTAACAAATGAGCTGTTAATAACTTAAATCCAGCACAGACAGACCCCAGATCCACAGATCACAGGATAATTCCAGTAGGAATGGACCTCAGGTCAGACCAGGTTGCTCAGGGCTTTGTCCAGTTGGGTCCTGAAAACCTTCAAAGACAGCACAGAGTGCACAGCCCCCCTGGGCAACCTGCCCCTGACTGACTTGTCCTCGGGGTGAAAAAGTTTTTCCTTATACCCAGTCGGAACCTCTCTTGTTTCAATTTATGCCTGTAATCCTACACCCCGCCCCCCACCAGGCACCACTGTGAATAGCCTGGATCCATCTTCTGGATAATTTCTCCATAGCTACCGGGCAGCTGCTGTTTGTGAGGTGTTCCCAAAGCTGCCTTTCTTCCAGGCTGAACAAACCTGGCCCAGCAGCTGCTCCTCACAAGGCAAATGCTCCAGCCCCCTGACTTTCTTGGCAGCCCTCTGCCAAACTGACTCCAGTTTATCAATGTCTTCCCTGTACTGAGGTGCCTAAAACAAGGCTCCCTATTCCAGATGTGGTCTAACAAGTGCTGAGTAGACAAGCATGATCACTTCCATGAATTCACTGGCTGTGCTACTACTGTTAGTACAACCCAGGATACTTTTGGCCACCTTAGCTGCCAGGGCACACTGTTGGCTCACGTTCAGCTTGCTGTCTACCAAAATCCCCAGGTCCTTTTCCACAGAGCTGCTTCCCAGCCATCCAGTCCCAAACCTGTATTATCACCAGGGGCTCTTCCTTCCCACGTGCAGGGCTTCACATCTGTCTTTCCTGAATTTTGTAAGATTTCTGTTGGCCTATTCCTCCAGCCTGTCCGGGTTCCCCTGGAAGGCAGCCCTGTCCTTCAGCGTCACTGACTGGTCCGCCCAGTTCGGTGTCCTTTGCAAACATGAGTACACTCTATCTGATTCTTCAATAAAGATGTTAAACAGGATGAGTCCCAAGACAGATCCCTGTGCTACTCCAGTTGTCACAAGACTCCAGTTAGACTCAGAATCATTAACCTCTACCTCCCGAACATGACCAACCAACCATTTTTTTACCCATCTAATTATCTGCCCATCCAGACTGTAACAGTGTAATTCGGGTATAAGAACATTTTACTGCCAAAAGCCTTGTTAATGTCAAGGCAAATGACATCCACCGCTCTCCCCTGCAACGGTAACAGTGGGAGTTCTGGTACTGAACTTCAGGGAACTAGTTTCAACTCTTTGCTTGGGGAAGACACACTGGAAACAATGGCCGGCACACATACTGTCAGGAGCATTCTTCTCCAAAACACCTTTGGAAAGTATAGGTTTGTATCACTGGGATTCAGTAGGCCAAATCTTTAGCTGCAATAATCAGCCCAGTTCCATTAAACTCAGTCTGTATCCAGGGTCTCATCTCTCAGCTAACGATCCTGGCTTACTATGTGCCTGATATTTGTTGCCTCAGCCCTACGTGCAGGTTGCACAGACAGGCCCTAGGAGCGTCAAACAGGAACAGCAAGGGAAACTAGGGAGACGCAGAAATTCCTCAGTTCTCCTGGGAAAAGCACAGATCCACTGTGTTCCTGTGACAATCTTTCTCTTACCTTTGCAAGGAAACTCCATGCTGCATATTGCCCTGAGGTTGTGCTGCTTTTTAGCTTCACTGTGTGCAACATCAGAAAGAATCCCAACAGTCCACTGCAAGGGATGGGGAAAGCTTGTTAATAAAGTCTCTTAATGTCAACTAAGCAACCTCTTACAGGCATCTTGGTTTTCCTAATGCAGAACTGCAGTGTTAATCCCATTTGCAGAAAGCAAGCTGGTAGACAGAGCTTACATTATGTCCAGTACACCTCAGGTTTTGTTCAGTCAGTGACTAGAGTCTGAGTAAAGTAAGTCTGACGCTCTTATGGCTGGTCTCTAATGCACTTGCATAATCAGAAAAGTAGAGATTATTGGAAACATGAGGTGAAATATTAACTTCAGGCATTGAAATGGCTCTGAATAAAGGCAATGCTAGTTTCAACAGGAGCCACACATGTTTGGCAACTAACTCACTTCAACCTCCACAGAGCCTTGAACTGAAAAAACAACCACTGGAAAGTTTGTGCCCGAAGCTTTCAAGCTGTTTAAGCTTCATGAAGCCTAAATTCCAATTAGGAAGTCAAATACATCTCTACTGTATAACAAATAGACAGATGACTCAGTAGTGCTGGGAACAGACTACTCCAAAGCTCTCTGCTGATGATTAAGGGCATTTTGATGCTCAAGTCATACAGGACAGTAGTCCCCAATGCTCCTGAAGCCACAACTACTCTTAAGGAAACTCTGTTCCACATCTCACTGGACCTCACAGAGCTTATAAGCTTTGGGTCTGGATTTTGTTTCACTTGTGACATACTTAGAACCCACTGGTTGTGAACCAGTGAAATAGTGTAAACCAACAAGCAGGAAAGAGAAACAGACTTCAAAATATGTAAGGCACAAATTACTTTGTGGCTGGTTGATAGGCATAAGAGATTAACAAAGCACAGTGGGAAGCTGCATGGGAAAGGAGATAGGATCAACACAGCATACAGGCGGTGAGGCAAAAAGTGCCCTGGTATTCTAAGAGGGTATGCTGCTCTGGATGATGATGCAATGCAGGTGGTCCCCTCTCTGCAACAGCAGGAAAGGCGGAGGATGGTGTCCCCCCAGGTCAGAAGTTCCATGCTGGGCTCCAGCACCTCAGCCAAGTGCTGTTCCCTGTCCAGTACATGTGGCAAAGTTGCGTCTCAGCCACAGGTGGTTTTGCTACACCAAACAGGACGGTGAGGCAAGTGCCCAGGAGTAGGAGGTACCAGGGTTTCTTACACTGAGCAGTAACACGAGACCCCAAAGGACTGTCCGCTGTGCCTGGTGCCTAGAAAGCAGATGCTGCCTTGATGATGCGGCCCAAACTCAGCTCCTTGTTGCAGAGGATGAAGTGCTGAGCAGCAGAGCATCCATCCCCCTGAGAAACCAGCGAGCTCAAAGCAGCAGCACTGCCCGAACCTTTGAAAGGCCAGTAGCTGGCTTAAGTTTGTTCCACATCTTCTGCCCTGCTGAGAAGGGCTTTTAGTCAGAGCAATTTAAAGTGGTTTAGTGTGATTCAGAGACAAAAAGTGAAACAGCTAATTATAATACCCGAAATACTGATGTCACAATTAACACCAATTTATTTCATTAAATAAATGGAGCACTCTGCACCTTACCACTAATGCTTCAGACATTCTGCACAGGTAGTGGATGCAACTGCACCAGTTACCACTACTTTAGTTTGTACAGGTTCTCCTCCAAATCCTTTACGTTTACAAAGACACTAGATTACAAGATGTAGGAGAGCAAGTGAGATGCTTGTTTCTCCATCTAACTATTCCTTTCCACTTGCTGTAGTGTGCAGTGCTATCTACTACACACGTGGCAATGGAAACAGAAATGAGAGGCTACAGCAGTGGTAAAATTCTAATGAAGTGAAAGAGAAGAGCATCTGGGCTAGACAGATATGCATTAGTGCCTGCAGTTAGACCTCGCCTTCAAGAAGAAATAGATTTCACCTACCTACTGTGGAACAACTTATTCATTAATACCTAATGGCAAGTTACTCGTAGTGCGGATAGTCTGCCCTTGAAAAAATCCACTTTCGTACCAAAAAACTATGTACACAGGGAAATTATTTAACAATCATTTTTAATATCCCCTTTTAATAGAAAATCCAGATACAAGTAAGAAAATCCCTAACAATCAGGAAATATTTTTGCCATCAGTCAGCACAAACGTATTTTTCCCCTCTAAAAATAAAATACTTCCATTTGGCAAAAGACTGGAGGAGAAAGACAGGAATAATTTTATTTGGAGATAATTAAGACCTATAGGAAACATATTTATGTTGTCCTCTGAGAATTACACTATTGGACAGTGAACTTTCACTGCTCAAAATAAAGGAATGCTTGTTAAAGCTTTTCCCTTTTACCCAAAAAAAGCATTCTGCCAAATAACAAGATGTACAGGCAAATAAATCCATGTACAATCATATACTGCTGAAGACTAATACTCCATAATCACCGCAAACAGCAAGTTTTACAAGGGCTAATCCAACTTGAGAAGCATTTGAGAGATGCTATTTATCAAAGCTTTGCTACATTCGGTAAAAATTATTTTACTGGTGACTGGGAACTCTCCTGATCTGAATGCACTCACTCAAATGCACACATATACTTTCCAGCACATTTGAATCTCAGGCCTTCAAATGCATATCCACAGATATGCACAGATACACATTCTCTGCAGTTTCACTGGCTTATGCCAGCAAAAACTATTATAACTAAGGTTTTGCATGCTCCACAATTTTTTAACTGAGAGTCAAGGTTGGAATCAACAGGATCTCTTATTTTGAAAACATTCATGTGTCCTGTTATAGAGAGGTTACCTGGCACAGCAGCTGCTATGAAACCTGTAGAAGTACAGAAATGGAAAGTCCAAGGCACTGAAGAGATCACCTGAGGGACAAAACAATATACTCAGTGGAACACGGGGCAGGGAGGGTAATTACCCACTGTTACAAGCAATTGTACGAACAGCAGTTATATGAACATTACCAGTTTAACGTTCTTTTGAGCCTTTACAGCTGGCTGACTTTTCATTTATGATGCTTTCCACATTTCTAGTGTTTAATGATTTCTTTCTGACCTTGCTTCTAGCCCGTTCCTGCCTTTGGCTGAAAAAGGGGAAAGGGATACATAAGAGTACTCTTCGCTAGTATGCAGAAGACCCTGCTTAAGCAACAGTTGCCAGTGGATAGACATGCATCATATTGACTTTTATTGCAGAGCTCGTGATGGTTCCTACTGAAGCAACAGGAAGCACAGACATATGTTGGCTGCTTCCCCCCTCTGGCATTTGAACTTTGTCACAGAGAGCAAGTTGAGAGGTCTAAAAAAGTTCTCCCAGACCCAAGCAGAGCTCTCAAGTACTTCCATTTCCAGGAACCTGGGCCCTGGTTGTTCTTGGTAGCAGCAATTCCCAGGAATTCTTCGGCCTTCAAGCTCTACAGATTCAGAGGGAGCTCCATCTTTCACTTTTTGAAACGCAGGACTATTCTGCTTCACATGTCTGTCTATCCTGCTGGGGGAATGCTATACACAAATATGCACCACCAGGCAAAAGGGGGAATTCCTGTTTATTTAAATGCTTCTTCCTTTGTTTTTCTGACTGAGCAAATGTCTAGTGAAAGCAACAGATGATCATCTTTACCCATCTAACTATTTAAACACCAATATGATAGGAATATTAGCCACTACTAAATATTCCATTTCTCCGTTTTTAGCCTTTTATCTTTTGCTGCTTCAAATCCTGCCATGGGCTGAAGCGATGGGATACGTGTTATGAAAGCAACAAAACGAAATCTCTGCATACCATTGAGAGCAACGCAGAGAAGGAAACTCAGTTCCATAGAGACTGCTGGGACACTGCTCTCAAGAGGACATATTCACCTAGGGAATCCTTGTTCTTTACCATACACCACCTCAAAAAGCTGTTCTTGGTTGCCTGTCCCACCCTATTTGTTTGCAAAGGGCAGCTAAGAAAGGTATTAGTAAATACCATGCAAATTACAGAGTTATGTACCCTCCCCTCCTCTTCCTACAGGATATCGTATTATTGGTCATATTCCTGTTGAACTCCAGGGTTAAAATCCTACAGGGTTTGGCCTCTAAAAACATGCATGGAAAGGAAAGGCAATATGGAAATCTAAAAAAGGAACAACTTAATCCACTTTACCTGCTGGATGGGATGCAGAGGCCAAGAGCACCACACTAAAAAATAAAAAAAGATTAATTATATACCACATAACTTAGGACATGGCTTGAACATTATAAATTGACAACTTTGTGTTTGTTTTTTCAAGGTGAAACTTATTCTAGTTAAGTAGAATAACTGAGGCATAAGTATCAATTAAAAAAAAAAAAAAAAGTTGGGTCGGAAGAAGTCTCCGGGGTCACCTAATACAGTGTCTCACATGAAGCAGGACTACCACCAATATTTGATCATGTCCTCTGTGTCTCTGCCTCAAAAATCCAGGTCTCAAAAAACCTCCAGCATGGAGGTTCCACATCTCTCTAGGTAACTTGTCCCAGGGCCACCCTACCCTCCTAGTCAAGAAGTTTTTCCTGATGTCATAGAATCATAGAATCTTTAGGTTGGAACAGACCTCTAAGATCATCAAGTTCAACCGTTGACCTAACACCATCATGCCCACTAAGCCATGTCTACAAGTGCCACATCAACACATTTTTTGAACACGTTCAGGGACAGTGACTCCACCGCTTCCCTGGGCAGCCTGTTCCAGTTTGACTACTCTTTTGGTGAAGAAATTTTTCCTCATGTCCAATCTAAACCTCCCCTGGCGCTACTTAAGGCCATTTCCTCTCATCCTACTGCTTGTTATCTGGGAGCAGAGACCGACCCCCGCCTCTCTACAGCCTCCTTTCAGGTAGTTGTAGAGAGTGGTAAGGTCTCCCCTCAGCCTCCTCTTCTCCAGGCTGAAGAACCCCAGTTCCCTCAGCTGCTCCTCACCAGACTTGTGCTCCAGACCCTTCACCAGCTTCGTTGCCCTTCTCTGGACACGCTCCAGCACCTCAATGTCCTGTCTTTAAACCACCAAAGCTCCAATTTACGCTTGTTGTTCCATCTGCCACTCCTTAAAAGAGTTTGGCTCCGTCATCTTTGCAAATCCTTTTCAAGAAAGCGTACGTAGTTGTTAGGTTGCACTTTGGTTTCCACTTTGCCAGTCTCAACAAGACTAGCTCCTTCAGACTCTCGTTGCAGTAGGCCATGAGCTCTAAGTCCCTAACAATGTCAGTAGCCCTCTCCTAGATCTTCAGTTTCTCAGTATCTTCCTTGAACTGGATAAAGTATTCCAGCTGCAGCCTCAGCACTGCGCGTAATAACTTCTCTTGATCTGATGGCCACGCTCCGTCTAATATAGCCCAATACCTGGTTTGCCTTAATTTGCCATGAGCATGCACTACTGCCTCCCAGTATTCACTGTTATGCCCAAGCCCTTTCCAACAGACCTGCTGCTCAGCCAGCTGGTGACACCGCTGAGGCAGAATCCATAGAGAACTGTGCTTGCGTCTAGACTTGAGTGTGTCTGCCTGAGGACTAATTTCAGCTGTGTGCAGACTTTATAGGGATGTGCATGTATTGCATGAGAGTCAAATACAGAGTCTGATGCACGCGATTGTGCGTGCACTGCACATTCCTGCCCAAAATGCCAGTTAAAGAAAGGATAGATGCTGCAATTAAACAAGTTAAAAAAACCCTACATGAAAATAAACCCAAGCACCAGCTCAAACGAGGCACGCTTTTCAGAAATACCCAAGTGAACAAGAATATCAGCTGCGACCAATTCTTTACCTGGAGTATCACTTAAGATTTCTGAGGTCCTACAAAGACTTGACCATACAGAGCCTTTTTCAGTGCTACCAATTCTTGCAGTAAACTTCTGGATGTTTTTCCAAATGTTTTCATTCCATGTTGTTTTCACGGTTAGAAGGCTACAGAAACACATTCCAGGGAATTGTAAGATGGGAGAAGCATGTGTGTCTCCAAAGCAGAGCTACAGCTTCCTCCAATTACCAACAACATACGTCCATGACAAACACAAAGGACAAGAGGGAGAAGGAGAAAAGTGTCTGGAGAGATTGCTTCTTGATAAGGAGCAAGCACTGCACTTATAAAGGTAAAAAGATATTCATTAAGGTTATGAATGCTAAAGCTAGGCAATTTTCTCTGGCTAATTACCAGCAATTTTTAAAGTTCAGTAGGCCCAGTAATGGCAGTAAAAGTGCCAACTCAGCCAGCAGAGGAATGGGAAGCCTGCACAACGAGAAGTTCAGGCAGAGAAAGAGCTGGAAGGGGTTCCCAGCGCACAAGGTGATGGCTAGAAAACTGAACTCGCTGTAGATGAGCTGCCTCCAGTACCTGCAGCAGCACAGTATCATCAGCATGGTGCTTCTATTAGGCCAACTCCCTCTTCCAGCATAAACACAGCTACTGTTTCGAAGCTTCCTTGCTTGCTCTCAGCTAGTCCCAGTTCTCTACGCGACCAGGCTACTGCGCTTGGTGGCCTGCCCTCGGCATGCTTTGGTGAGTCCCCGGTATCATTCGCAGAGGCGCCGGTAGCAAAAGGAACTGCAAAGTGCACGGAAATCCTGTGGCCAGGGGAGCCTCGGGGGGAAGCTTGTCACTGCAATCAGCCCTGGAAGATGACGGGATGAAGGAGGGAACAGTTCATGAGCAGGTATTTTAGGCTTAACATTTTATGCAATGCCTTTGAAAAGCATCACCTGGTAGAGTATGTTCACATTGTCAATATTTATATGCCTTTAACAGATGTGGTTGTCACAAAGATATTCAACAAGGCAAAGCAGATCACTTACAGTAGGCAATTTCCCCTGCCCCTCCTTCCTACACACATGTGCTGTCCCCACATGCGACGCCAAGAGGAATTCACAATAAACAGGCCCAATTCCTCAGTTTCCTGGTAAAGAGAGAAAAGGAAGCAAAGGCCTATTGCTTTTGACTGAATAACAGAGAAAACAGGAGACTGGCAGGGCAAGTGAAACTGTATCAACAGTGATGAGAATTATGACTAAGCCGTGTTTCTCCACTTTTGCTTTTTGCATTATTAATTTTTAAACAAAAAAAAGTGAGATTGGGAAATGCTCAGAGAGAAACTTCCTTCTGCAACCAAGAGGAACTGATAACCCTACCAGACATCCCAGTCCTTGATCCAAAGAAAACACAGGAGGAAAACAAAACCTTCTTTGTGAAGCGTGGGGCAGGTTAAGGCAAATGGGTTAGATGGTGTTAAAGCTGTACTGTAACTCTGCCCTCAGCAGAACATCAGCAGAAAAGACACGATGATGTTGTAAAACCGGATTAGGGATTCAGAGGTTTCCAGCAGGAAAGCCTGGACATCAGGCTGCAGCAAAAACAAAATCCCTGTGCCAGATTTCTCTGCTCCTCTCTTTTTTTCCCCCCTGTACTCCATAAGGAGGGCTGGGTCACCCATGTTTTTCTTTCTGGCTAAAAAGAGGTTTGTCAGCAAGAACAGCAATTTATGCCTGCAACGCTGCCCTTCCCTATTGCAGAAAATCTACTGCAGCTTTTTTAATTCACAACAGTGACAGATGAGCATGTCTTCCAGAAGCCAAATGCAGTTTAGCTGCATAGAGCAGAGCCTTTACCTCTCACCTTTCTCAGTGCTATTTATTCACCATTTGAAACTCTCCTGTTGTAAGTCTCTGGTTTCTCACCAGTGACTGCTAGGCTATCTGACATGCCTTTGTGAACAAACGATCAGACAGTGACAGATACTGGGATGTACTGAAACTTTCCTCCTGGTGCTCCTCAAGAAGTAACATATCTCTACCTGCCCCATCATAGAAGAGAGCCCAAGATGAGCCGTGACCCACTTCTGAGCCATATTACGTATCCCTCAACACGCCAGGTTGACATTACTACCCCCTCCCCTCATGCTACCCCTTGCCAGCTAGCTAGCGGGGAGAAACCTGGCTCCCTCCTCAATAAAAAGTGGGGGACTGGAAAGGAATAAAAGAAAATGCAAGATTACTAGAAAAACCACTAGGAAGTAGAATACTAATGCAGAAATCAGAGTGCAGGGAAATAGAATACTGCAGTAAAAAAAGGTGGTGGGAACAAGACTGCAGGATTAGAGGAAAGTTCTTGGAAGTACATTTCACCCCTTCTCTTCCTCCCCCTCTCTGCCCAACATGTTTAAACACAAAGGAGATGGATGAACAGGATGGGGTTGGGCACTGAGAAGCAATGTCAGCCCTCCCTTCTCTGCATAGCACAGCTCTCGCTCTTACACTTGCTCCTGGTCTGGCTCCCTTTTTAAAAGCCATTGAATAATCACGCTGTAAGAGACGAAGTAAAAAGAAACTCACACTTTCAACATCAGCAAACATTTCTTCAGACCTGTTTGGTTCCAGAAAGTTCCCATTCGTATACATTTGCTTAAGACGTTCTCCCCTCCCAAATTGTTCCAGATTTTAAAACAAGAAACAGTGCACGGCATGTAGGGACAGCATATGTTAGGAGACTTTAATAATTTCAGTTGCACCTCTGGAAGTGTCCAACAGAGCCAATATAGTGAATGTTTCTTTTTAATCTAAATATATGGGGGTTTAATCTAACATATTGGTACATTCTAACATCCAGTAGCTTGGGGCAGAACTTTTAATCTGCTCTATCCAGGCAGCCTCTACACTTAGAGCATAACTGTGCTTTCACACCGAACAGAAACGCTTTCAACAGCCTCTGTTGTAACAAACCTATACGTTTTCCTATATATTAGGAAAGAATTCCTCACGAAAACGGTTGTCAAGCACTGGAACAGGCTGCCCAGAGAAGTGGTGGAGTCACCACCCCTGTAGGTATTTAAAAGACATGTAGACATGGTGCTTAGGGACATAGTTCAGTGGCGGACTTGGCAGCATTAGGTTAATGCCTGGACTCAATGATAAGGGTCTTTTCCAACCTAAATGACTCCATGATTCTAAACACTATCTGGCTGTGCCCACAGCTGCTTTCTTTTCCCCACGCAGTGGCATATCAGCTGTCTGAGCTAGGCTAGAAATAAGGAGCTATACAGGCCTAGTGATAATAGTGCTAAGAGGAGAAAGTTGCACTGATACCGCCCTAGCAAGTTCCTTCATAAATCAGGGAATCATGCTTGTAGAGACAAGACCACTGGTACACATTAGACTGTCCTGTTCTGGAGATGGAACTGTGATCCTGTCATGGCCAAAACAGTCCCTGAGAAGGCCTGAGTAGCGGAAGCAGCATATACCTTACTGTCTGTTAAATCACAAAATTTAGTGCTGGGCACCCTCTGACAGAGACAAGCTCACGTTTACAGTAATTCTGACCCAGAACCACCCATGAGGAGTTAGTGCTCATTCAGAGAACATTCAGAGTACAATGCTCTCTACCCAAAGTGTGCTTTAAAAATACTTTCAACTGTTTTCTACAGAAATTAAGCTTGTGCAATAAAGCTGTGTGTACCCATACATACATAGCTCTACAGAACTGACCAGCTTCATCCAAACTTGGGAAGCGGCAGTCATCTTCAAGATAGCTACATGCATAGAGGTCTCACGAAGAGACAAACCCTGCCAGCGTCTTCTGCAGCAGAAAGATTTCAGCCCCATTAGACACTGGAGGACCTTCACGGCAGTGGCACGTCATGGAGGTCGCAAACAAGGAGAGAGCTTCCGCCAAATTTCACACCCTTTCAAACATCATCAGCTATTACGAGAAAACAAAAATATAGATACACACACATACACATATTCATAGAACCAAGCCAAATAAACAAGCACCCAGTCTTCTACATCTTCTAAGCCACCTGTTTTCCAGCAATTGCTTTGCACCATCATCTCGCAACCTACACCGACCTTTAAGCCCCTTAATGATGAAAATCTTTGCAAGCTTTGATAATGTCTTTGCTTTTAAGCAGATGCTAAAAAAAGCCATCTTCCAATTTGCATAATTCCATTGAGGTTTTGGGTTGGTTTGTTTTTTTTTTTTTTACCACTGTACCTCCAAGCTCCTTAGTGAGAAGCGTCTCCCTTTCAAAAGCCTCTAAATCAATAACCATATTTCCCATGTAATGTGGAGCTCCTGCTCTCTGCTGGACACAACTTCACAGACTTCAAAGGATACTATCAACTAACACAGCAGGGAACCCACCACTGACTTTTCAATCAAAGCTGCAAAATTAAGACCTTTGGCCAAAATCCAAATTTAAAGTTCAGGCTCAGATGCAGTTTTCAACTAAAACGACAACTGAGAGCCACAGTCAGGCAGGTGCCAAATGAAAAATCAATTTATTTTATCGCTTGTTTCATGATTCTTCCTTCAACAGAGACAAATAGCTACAGCTCATTCAAGACTTCATGGGTTATTTCTGCACATTGCAGCATATTTGCCAGTTCCACGACTAATTCCTCAAAACAGTTTCAATAAACACAGCTACCTTCTTTGAGTGAAATTGATTTGCTTTGCACTTCATAGTAGATGGAAGACAACAACTGACTTAAACAAGAGCTTACTTCAAGCAAACTGATATTCAAGTATTGTTAACGCACGGGACCCCAGTCAATAGACACTGGAATCACACAAACGCAAAATCAGAAGTCTGCATTATTTATTTATCAAAATAGGAGATTTGATCAAACCAAGACAGAAAGAGATACACAGTACTATCATGTTGACGACGCTCACAAGATAAATGGGAATTGAAGTGAAGTAACTGTCCCACACTGGTGTTCCTGATGTGTTCCTAGCAAGGATCTTTAATGTGGTCAGACAAGAGCACACATCCATCTAACCAAATGGGCAAGCACAACTTCACTTTTGTTACACTTACTCCTAACTTCTGCTCTCCATTCCGCTCCCACACAAACAACTTTATGGATTTCATTCCTTTTGACCATCCTTTCTTAGAACTTAGTATCCATACTCCATAGCATTCCCATACAACTTTAGGTACCATTCCAAGTAAAGAGGTCAACATATACAAGATGGGATTACGGATGGAGGAGAATTTACTAAATTCTCTATATACCTTACTTCAAATAAAGCTTCACCAAAATCTAGTGGAAGCCATGCACACCTGATGTTCTCGCTTATATGGCTCTTTAAGGAAAGGACAGACTTTCTTTTTTAAATTAAAAAACACAGGCTCTTTCACTAACTACGAAATAACAAGCCACTTTTGTATCTCCAAATCAGAAAAAACAACCGAAAGTCTGAATTACTCAATCCTACTAACGGCACTCTGAACAATCAGTTACTGCTCATGTTCTTTGCACATCGTACTTTTGTAATCACCACCTCCCCTTCTGGCAATTTTGTACGAGCTTTCTTTTCTGAAGTGGGATTTTGCCAGGGAGTTACTCTGTAAATATTATTTCTGGAAATGATAGATCACTTGTGCACATGGCGATTAAAAAATTCATAATTAACACCTCGTTACCTCCCCAGGTGTATATTGGCATGTCCACCTATAAGCAGAGCCAAAAAAATTCAGCTGCTAAGCCATTGAGCTTAGCACTGTTCTTTGAGTGAACGTCCTGCAAAATAAATATATTGAAGTAGTGGTAGCTATGAGTTTCCTAAACAAGCCATGGTTGAAAATGAAAACATATAACGCAGAAAACCAGCTATAGTGTATCAAAGGCGTATTCATTTTACCTGAATACATAGTTGATGTACTGTTGGTCCAGATCACTGGGAGAGGAGGGAAAGAAAAAGAGGTGTTCTTTTAGTATTGCAGTTCATTTGGTACAAAAGATCAGTATATTAAGTAGTATTATAACACTGTAATATTACGTATATTACATAATATTAATATTATATATGACACAATGTTATAATTGGGCAATACTAACATTATATTATAATTATATTATCGATATATTAATCAGCATATTAATTTACAATGATTTGCACATTATTTCTGTTGTTGCTATGTCAGCAGGAGTCTCATTGGAAGTGAAGATAAAGTGAGACTGACTAAAATTTATACCCTTTTAACAGAGATGGAAATTGATTTTGAAATAAATGAGCCTATCCATATTCTACACACACACGTATTAGGTACCTAGACATAATATGCAGTGGCGACATACCTGTCTCCATCCATACAGACAACTGCAGATTGCAGACACTGTGAACATGTCAGGCCACCTGATTTCAAAACAACTATTGTCTGGCTGAAGTTCTAACACGCACATGGGATTAGTGCGAGGTTTCAACATTGCTAAGGTACCCAGCCGTTCCAGTCCTGTGGCAAGACACCAGCCGCTAAACATTTTTGAGACTGTGTCGCAAAGGGAGATACGGACAGATTCAAACCATGCAGCTTTCAAGGCTAACACAAGCTAACACTTCCTCTTAATGCCTGTGCCAGTAATTAGGGGTTCTTTTTCCAGGACTGAGTCATCACCCTTTGATAATACACTGTTTAAAACTAATTCAGTGCTCAAGTTGGCAGTATAACTATCAATAACCACATGCTATTGCTATCAACAATAAATAAGGCTCCTCTTGCAAGAGAAGTCATTAATGATTAACCAAGAGTGGCCCAGCTCATGCTGATAACAAGAGATCCCTACAGTTTACCTGACTGCTATGCAGATGTGTCTCTAACCCTCTGATAGCAATCTCTTTCTTTTTAAAAGAACATGAAAACACATTACCTTAAAGAGCTCGGTTTCCATAACTTGTGAAATACTTTGTAAGCCCCTGGAATTGAAACGACATGTGTAAGTGCCATAACATGCAATCATTCTGACAAACAACGGCTTGTTGTACCAGCATACGTGGAACCCCCCCGAACTACAGTTTAGCAACATGGCACAAAGGATGCCTAAACTATGAGTAAAGTGAACCTATCACTTCAAATTAACAGTTTTCAAAGTGTTACCATCGCAGAGCACTGTCATGCTATGTGTTTCTGCTAGTCCTTCTGAAGAAAGGACAACTCCAAGCTCAAAGCAACCACAAAGGAGTGTGCGTGTGTGTATGTGTGCGTGAGTAAATACTCACACAGAAAAAGTGTCGCAGAACGGGCTCTTCAGCCCATCCCATTTTTTGGGTAACTTCTGTGATGTGTTCATCTATGTAGATCCCTAGAGCTGTTGGCTCTGAGACGCCTTTCCTGAGTTCTCTCAGCTCTAGGGTCTCCAGGTTATTTACATTCTTGACCTATCCACCTCTTGGTTAGCTCACATTTCTGTTCTGGGTAAAGCTTTGAGTACTTAAGGAAGGAACAACACAGCTTCAGGCTCTATTTTTTTAGACCCATTCTTCAAGGCCTTGTGGGTTTTTTTTTGATTCACAAAGAAAACCAGAACGTGAAAAGCAAACACAGTAGAACACTATGTAACAGATGCCCTCAATTCTGCCTCCATTAGCCAAGCTGAAGGGTAAAAAAACACATATCCTTTCTCTAATGCTCTGTCTTGATGAACTGTGTGATAAGTTAGTTAATTTGTTTGCTTGTTCTTCTACATCTTTATTCTGTGTTAGTTGATAGGAAATCTAATTACATTTAAAAAAATCCCAACAGACATAGCAACAATTTTCAAAAAAAACCAAGAGAAATGGAAAGAAGCTATATATTTGAGCATAAAATTTATGTTGGCACTTCCTACACATTTCAAGCACACAGAAGAGGCCTCCTGAAGACCCTCTAAGCAGCTTTCCACCTCCACGGCCTAGCAGAGCTTTACAAATGAGACCTCTTGGTTTTGAGAAAGCAATAACATCACTTGTTACAGAAAACAAGTATTTGAAGTGAAAAATCCTTAGCTTAGTTTTATCTAAATGAGCAAATGTTTACCATATAACATTTCCTAAAGGAAACAAAAAATAGATTAGTTCTCATTTGTATGTTAACAACATTTTCCAATGGGATCTCTAGACCTCCCTAGACACAAATACATATAAATATGTAACCTCCGCCCTGAAAATTTTACAGTATGAATAGACAAAATAAAAAAGGAATCATCTCTAATTTGCAGACAAGACTTAACATATGAATGAGTCACTCGCTAAGTCTATAGGACAGCTAAGAACCAAATACAAGTCCCTTATTATCCAGCCTAATGCTCCAAAAGACACAAATCTCCTAGGTAAAAGTTACTGCTCTTGTTTTCTTGAGATTTGCTCAGTCTGGCTGTATCTAGCTTTTCAGGGAAAAATTATGATTTATCCAAATCAATGTTTAGTCTGAAAAAGACAAAAGAAAACACCTGACAGGTCATGGAACTCATTGTTAATTTTTTTTTAAATGCATATGTTTGCCTAAAACCCCCTAACATTTCAACATCCTTCCTCTGGCAGCATATTCCATGATATTTTAGAAAATTTTTGTCAGTTTTTAAATAAAATCACTGTCTGAAATACAGCTCCAACTACAAGTTATTGCTTGGCTTTTTTCATGTTTCTTCACCCCTCAGAAAGAAGTGCCTCTTAGTAGGCAACCATCAAAAACTCCCAGAAAAACTTAGTGCTGATTAAAATTTTACATACTTTTTCTCATCCACTGTTAACTGACTGCAACATCTAGTTTATTCTGTTGTTGTTTCCAATGTAAATGCTGTAAAAGGAACACACTATCTTATCTTTACCGAGCTTCTTTATTCTTTCCAAATGTTTCTTACAGCAAGAACCTTAAATATCAATAACTTCATAATAAAGCTGATTAGCTTCTCCAACACATTTACTCTTCCTAATTCTTTTTCCAAAAGAAAATGACTTACCAACACAGATCAAGTGAATTAGAGCCCATAAATAACCATTTGGATCAAACTGCAATAAAGAACATCTACATAAATAAATGCACGTTCACATAAACATACGTGTTGCTATTTCCCTGCAGTTAGCTTCACAAGGCAAGTACGGCGAGTGGGAGCTATGCTACGGAGAAAGAAAAGATGATTAAACAAGACTAGGAAGACTAAAGTTTTTCCTGTCCTGCTTAGAGACCTGGCATATGCCAAGTACCCAGGGTTTCAGCCAGCTTTGGCAAGGATAGCACTATTTCTTTCAGATATGTATATCATTCCAAACAACCTGAGAATATGGACCCCAGTCTGTTTAGTCTTGCATTGGCAATCAGAGAGGCGCAAGAGGATCAGAGGAACATCACAAAGTTTTTTGTCTTGTCTCCTTTCCCCTCTCAGCCCCTGCAGCAGCAAAGCAGCCTCTCTCCCCAAGGCTCTCACTAACCACAGAGGATCTGAAAGAGTGCTTTGCACAGGCATCTGCCTCTGAGCGAGGTAGGCTCTCTTCACAACCAATGGGGAAAAAATCAACACTTTTGAGAGGAGTTCACCTGGCGTATTTTAGATGTCTGCTTCTAGGGGAGATGAATCGTACACCAGAAGTTCCTGCTCTGCACCGTGGACTATGAAGGCAGCTAGTGCAGACGCAACACTTCCGATGGCTACGTTCGATCAGATGCATCCGGACAAGTTCCTAGATTCATCCCGCCTGACTTCAGATATTAACTAAAGTATCTAAAACAAGGAAGCAGCCTTCCTAAGTCTTCAAAAGAGAAAAGCACCTCCAAGGAATAAATCTTTGCTGGATTGAGCTACTCTCTGGAGGTACTTCCTTTCTTCCTCCAGTAGCTACAGAAAGTGTGTAGAGTGATTACAAAGCTGATTTAGGAACCTCCTGAAAGCACAAGCAATTAATTCGAACCCAAGTGATTTGCTCTAAGCCCTATATGAAGTTAAACTACGGTTTCCCCCACCACCAGCTTCACCGAAGAGCCGCATGTCTGCACTGCTCAGAGGTTTTACCATGATGCAAACACATTAAAACCAGCAAGACTACAAGACAGCTATAGGCCACACTTACAATTCCTTTGCAAGAATCTCACCCTAGCTTACAGGTAAAAGCTGCATCCCTCATATGCTAACAAGACATCAAACATCAAGGTCTAACTAGAGCTACTTTATAAAGCAGAGCTCACCTGTGTGTCACATAAAGGAAGGCACACTGCTGCTACCAGGAGGAACAGCGCACTGGGGAGAAGAGATAAAAATAAAAAACCAAGACCAAAAGCTCATAACCTGCATTTGCACTATCAGCAAAGTATAGGCAAGTCCACTCACTTTTACACTGACATTTCATTTGTTTAATTTTTATCCCACACTTAAGAAGTAATTTCTGCCACCGAAATTAAGTTTTACATCATGCATTCTTCCTAACTCATACACAGCAAAGATGTATGAGAAGAGAAGCAGCACAAAACATCTCAGCAGTGACGAAAACAAGGTTTTTTGGTAGCGAATATTATTCTTCACTTGCCATCTGACTTCCCTAGGCTGCTTCAGAAAGCCAAAATCAACAAGTTTCTGGCTGTGAATGGCTACCGAAAAGTTCTTTCATTAAGGTGAATTGCCTACTACAACAATTCCAGCAGAGGTGACTCCATTTAAAGTTATGGGGTAACTCCAGAACGCAGGGCAAAGTGGGAGTGAGTGGTATTACACTAGAAATGGCTTAAGGACAGCACAAATCCTCCTCTAGTCCACTGACTTGGACTAAATAAATTCTTAACCTGTGGCTGAGTCAGTAGTTCTACAGGCTACACTGAGTACACCAATGTGGAATTTCTGTGGACTGTCACTATTGATACAAATCACAAACACTTGCTTTTCCAGCTTATTTTCCTGCTCTCTAGGGGCACAGGAAAAGAGAGAATACAGATGATAAAAAAGAAACTGGTATCCTTGACAGTAATCCAGTGGTGAAAACAAGGCCACGATAAGTCAGATAATGGAAATAACAGGAAGAAATTAGGAAGATGGTGCCTCTAAGTACACTAAATAATAACCCAGTGTTATCCACTCTAAGTACAGCTAAAAGATCACAGAACGTGGAAGACAGCAAATAGGCATTTTTCAAGGGGATGGGAGGGAAGAGTGAAACTTTTAATAGATGACTGGACAGCTTCTGTTTGTCCCTTTCCATCTCCTTTTTAAAGCCTAAACAACCAGGGCCAGTAAGGGTTGGTAGGTTGCATAGCTTAATAGGAATGATTCCAGCAGAACGGGGTATCACTCACCTTTTCTTTCTTAGGAAAGGCATTTTTAGCTATTTTCTATCACATTAATTATCTTTCTCTTACTGTTTAAGATTACCCACTGGAACTTCAAACCTGATTTCTATCTCCTTTCTAAAAACACGCTTACAAACACTGCTTTGTTATTCAGGAAGACTGTCCTTCTGGCTCTTTTATTTTTATAAGGAGAAAAAAATGTATCTCTTTAAGCAATTGTTAAAAAAAAAAAAAAAGACACATTTTTAAAATATTTAATTACTCCTGTGTTGCAATTAAGGCTCACCACCCATGGGAATGAGCCTTACCTTCTTCATTGTTTTGGCATGTCATTATCTGAAGCAAATAGAGAAGCTGGAGCCAAAACAAGTCTGAATCTGAATCTGAGCACTTTTAAAAGCTTACCTACAGACTTTCAGATGAGAGGTCTGCTGTAAAACAGAAAGTATGGTTAACGAAATTAAAATTTAAAAATAAAAATGGTGAAATATTGCTTTCTCCTTCCAAAAACAAGGAAGTGATGACAGCTGATCTTACTGCACCAAACACATTAAAAATCTAGTGAGCAACATTCAACAGCCCATGATGTTTGAGCATTGCTTAGCAAATTTAATTGGAAAAAAAGAACCAGCACTACAGATTAGCCTACTTCAACTTGATTTATATTTTCAGATTACTTACCAGCAGGTATACCTAGAACCAGATATGAACTTTATACGTGGTCCTCAAACTTAACTTGAACTATATCAAAACTATGTATATACTCAATTATTCAGTATCCTTAATTAATTGGTACTATCACAGCCAAACCAGTCTTGGTCTAAACTCATGAGAGCTTCCAAATCCTTTGGTCCAAAATTATTCTCCAGAAGCTTCCCAGCAAGACCTGTGTTTGCATTATCCTTGTCTGTAGCGCTTTTGTTTTCCAGGAGAGGAGACATAAACAAGTGAGTTAGAAGGAAAATATGAAACACTTTGACAGGGACACTAATCAAAGGACAATGCCACAAGGACATGCCATGGTACGCCCTGCTGTCCCTTAGGCACAACCTTAGTGACCTTTTCGGTTTGTTAGGAGTAGCAAACACAGGCTATTTATTTGTCTTCTGTATACCCAACAGATGTAATGAAGGGAAGACCCCTTCCAGAGCAAGCCAGGCACCACTGTAGAAATGACTTTGTGATGAATGATTTCCCAGTGCTACCTCACACATCACCTCTCTGGTCAATTAGAAAAGTATTTCATAGCCTAAAAAAGAAGGATCCCCAATATAGTTTGTGAGAAACAAACCCAGCTCTTACTAAAGGGAGCAGGAATTACTATCCTGACTTTAAATGTCTTGGGACAGATTCTCAAGCATTCAAAACAAATCCAAAACCGCACTGTTTTTCCTGCATTTCATGTAATCGTACAATACATCAAATACTAGACATATGACACTGGTTAGAATTAAGGATCTAACCCAGTCCTCCTCCTGCTCAGCTCAAACAATGAGATTCTTACGTAGGGCATGAGAGAGGCGACATTAGTCTTCAAAAGGAAAAAATCAAGCAGGACCAAGACAGTCTTAAAAACGTAGATCAAACTGTTGCTACACATTTGCAATGTTTCATCAACTAAAGGGCAAAGAAAACATCAGTATAGATACTTGTCGACAGCAAAGCTCTCTCTGGGTCTCATTAATGACTAGCTACCACAGCAAGACCAGAAAAGCACATGGCACTAATGCCCCGTGTTAAAACAAATCAGGTGTCTTGTTATACGGCAATTGTATCGCGGGAGGTACCTTGAACATATCAATTAATAAATTACCTCTTTCTGCACAAACTTCTGGAACCCACAGGTTATAACTTCTGCTGCGCTGTGCACCGTGAGGAACACCGGGATCGGCTGCCGTTGGGAGAGAACAAAAACGCCCACATCAACCCAGAGCAGTCACACACATAGGAAGGGGCACCCCTCTTAGGGACAGCTGTCCCACATGTCTGTGGGGTTTTGTTTGGCTTTTTAAGCTGTAAACCCATGCCACATCTCCTAAGAGGGACTTAGACCCATTCCAATCACTATTATATGGCACAGGCATCTTTAAATGCAGACCATGACTGCTGCTTCTCCCACTTTCGAGTACTCAGTTGGTTTGTTTGTACACAGCTACCTGGGTGAGACTTGCTCCAGGTTTCTGCCTCTAGTTTTACCTCTGTTCAAGTATCTGCAGCCTCCACAGTTAACCATTCTCATTAGTTTTGCCATCTCCATCTACTGGTACTAAGAATACAGTGTGACTCCTAGCAACAGAATTATGGGCAAGATGATTTTAGGTGATTGCTATCAGTCACTGCTAGGAAGAGCTGCCTGAAATTAGGGTAGAAATGTAATAGTTCATACACAAGTAATGTTGAAACTATACCCACTGAGGTATCGGGACACCATCCCAACATGAAATCGTTAAGAAACAAACCCCAATGATAACAACCATGAATCAAACACTCAATCCCCCAGGCAAATCCAACCAGAATTAGTGGTTCATAATACTTCCTCCAAACCAGATCCATGGTCTCTGAGACAGTTGAAACAGAAGCAATTCTCTGCTCCAATTAAGATAACCTAAAGACTAAGGCAGTTTTAGGAAGCAGTACTTCTGCACTTGTGTGTAGTATTTAAATCACACGAGTAGAGAATGAGTTAATCTCTCAGTGATGCCCATGCCTTTTAAGTATCAGGTAATACAAGCAGCAGATCTCTTAAATTTGACTTTGTATTGAGAAATCTGGATTTTTCTTTTCATTCCCATAAAGCTGGACAAGCATCTCTAATTAAACATTTTAAGTCATAATGACAACTTGGGTGGATCCATAAACACAACAGTTACAGCAAGATAACTTTTAACACCTCTGAATTAGCAAGGAATGAAAATCACACAAGCACAACTGGCATGAAGTTGCCAGCCCCAGCTTCACCGATTCGGAAAACCAATTCTCAACCCTGTTGCTGAACAACCAAAGTAAAAGCATCTAACATAAGCATCCTGAGCCTGACACAGTAATAGGAAATACAAGAAATAAGCAGGAATAACAAGGAAAGTTGACAGCAGAATTTACATTCTTCCTTTTGTGAAGCCAATTTATTGGGTTTTTCTCTCCCCTCCTGCGCTTTTGGCTCTTCCAAATGTGTTTTGGAGCCAACAATGGCTCCAGTTTGCCTAGCCCAGTTAACCTTCTCCATATGTCTATTGTCTTTGATGTGAGTATTTCTTAAATTTGTGAGTAAATTAAATTAAAGCTTACGAAAAGAAAGGTTTACTGGTTGGGCAGGCAGGGGGAACAGACTCTGTACAAACCTCCCTTCACAGCTCTACATACTTTTGTTAATGCATCACAGTCCAGAGCTCAGCAGCCCTCCTCCAGTTCCAGCCCTGAACTCCTGGGCAGGGGAGACTGCCAGCACCTCTAGGGAGAGGCACAAACAGAGATTAAGACTGTAGCCCTGCCAGTATACAGGAGTGTTTGAAAGTGGGTCTCCCTGGCTTTGATCAAAAAAGTGCATGTAATTTCTACTTTCAGAATAAACCCACTTAATTCAAATACACTGATGAGGTGAGCCAGTTCAGGTAGGAATTTGGGAGAGTCCATTTTCCTTCTCACTGTGTCATAAAATGGTTGTACACAAAGTTATTGTAAGTAAAGCTTCTATGTAGGATTCAGTTTAGCCCCAGTACAAGGCATTACACAGTAACTATGGCCTAAGACTACTTGTCCTTTCATCTGTCCTCCTAAAATGGCCACAGAATTAGGCCTCTAAATCCCCATTCATGTACAACAAAAAAGCCATTCAGAAATGGGAGATGCTCCTTAAGAGAAGTCTGGGATCAAACCAAAACCATTCACAGCCCCTCTGCCACTCCAGTGCATCTTACTCTGGAATGACCAGAGCCGGGGACAGGAGGGAAACAAGGTAACCTACGGGATGACTAGGAAGTAAGAAGAAATAGTAGAGAGGATGTGATTCATACCTCCTCCACCTCCCAGGTGAGCAAGCAGAAAAGATGCTGCTGCCAAGGCTCTATTGCTGTTTCCAGGCAGGGCTCTCCTTAGGGCTCTTTGCTCAGGTTACACCAGGGAAGCCCAACGGAACTTGCTTTGACAAGGAACCAAGAGGAAGTAAATGCAATCACCCCGAGACAGAGCTAATCTGGAGGCACGGGGCTTCTGAGCGCTTGCCTTGCTTTCCGAAGGTCACTTGGGTTGGAGATGAGGCCCCTAGCCTTGTCTGTGAGGACAGAGACCTCCTGGCCTTTTCTGCCCTACCTCTCCACCGGCATGTTCAAGGGATCACTACAAGCAGAATCTTGTCAAAAATTCCTTTTTCATCCTGCTTGGGGTTTAGGAGCTGGCAGGAGTGAGCTGGCTCTGGAATAAGATTAAGAGGCATTGACAGACTGCAGAAGGGAACTAGTGCAGAATCTGGCCTTGCAGACTGCATAACAGCAGGAAAACATTGCTGTGTTTTAAAAAATGCATGTCATCACTTTTTTTTTTTTTAGAAAGACTATATCATTTAAGTAAAAAACATTCAACTAATGAAAGTAGATTTGATATCGTCTAAACTTTTGGTAGGTTATTGCGATTCAAATGGAACATAAAACTGATTAATCTAGCCCTTCCCATAATCTCATTCCAACTTTCAATTTATTTTTTCAAATCCTGTAAAGCATCAAAAGCCTGACACTGAAATAGTCTATTCTTTTCCTGGAAGGATTTCCCACAGACCCCACAGCCCCATTCCCCCTTTTGCAAAGTTACAGCTAGGAATTTCTTCAGCTTCTTCCCTACTTGCACAATTCAGACCACTGAGGGTCTGCTCTGCAAAACACCGAGTGCTCTGGAGAGATGCTGACTGGTTTGGACTGTCACAGAAGTGCTTTTCGATACTGCTCTACACTTCACAGGACTGCACTGCTGCTCGAGCACCACTAACAATGTATGTATTCTTTAAACCCCTCTTCCCTTCTTTCCCCCCAACCCAGGAGCAGCATTAAACAGCTTGTATGAAGGGAACGTTCTTTGCTCATAAAGTAGAGGTAACGTAGAACTGACTTCTACTTGTGCATTTCTTACCAATCTAGACAGTGCCCTAGAGCCAGCATAAATAATGCCAACAAACAGTACTGAAGCAGGAAGCCACGACAGGATTTCAGACCTGTGAAAACAATTAAAATCCCATTACTTCACCACATTCTGTTTACATACAGTCAGCAACAGTTGCTTGCAAGGACTATAATAATGCATATATATGTACATATATTTCAAAGGTGTGCATATTAAATTCATTGCCTGAGTGTTCAGTATTCCTCCCATGTAATAAAGAAGTCTGAGACAGAAATTAATCACTTCATCTAATCCCAGATAGATGCTATCTGCAGATGTATTTTCTTTCTTTTACTCTTTCTCCGTCGCCTCTCCTTGCGAAATTGTTTTGTTTCACAGCAATCACTCCTATTGGTTTTAAGGGAGAAAAATTTCAACTAATTTCCTTGATGCACTGTGAAAGGAAGAAAAACTGACAAATGAAGCCATAAAATGGCGTACTCGCACAGACAGCACACATTTTCACTATGTACAAATACACTTGCCCACCCACACATTCATTTCTCAGCCAGATTTACAAAGAGATTCTTCCTAAAGATCAGATTGTCTCTGTGGGAGCCTGTCTCTTGAGATTTCTTAATGATACTCCTTTGACTAAGCCAAACTCCTAGAGGCAGTTTGACAAGTAATGGAGGAATGAAGTCATCACAGACTGATCCGACTTCTTTTCTTTTCGGCCATGGTTATTGCAGTAGGGTCAGGTTTCAGTTCCGAGAAGGAGCTTCAGAATTTGCACTTTTCCTTTTTTGTTCTTGACACTTAAGGGGAAAAAGGGATCAGGTAGGTGGTAAATTTCAGAGAGAATAAGGTAAGATTTTGAGCAAGGGAGGAAAGGAGTAGCAGTGATGTAAAGGCCTGATCCAAAGGCTTCCTAGGACCGAAGACATCGCTACTCCCATTTACTCTTCCCAAGCTTTGACCTGAGGTCAAGAAAATGTAAGTGAATAATGCTGGTTCTCAAAATGAAACCAAACTGCTTGTAGTTCCTTAATCTGGATTACACTTCCAACTAGCATGTACGAGTTAAAACATAATCATAGATACTGCTACTGTACCACACTTCACGGAACACAAGAAAAATAGATCACTAGATGAAATCAGAATAGTCTGAATGAAGATAAAACATGCCCAAGGATTCATGTAAACACAGACAAGTAAAAAAACCTAAAGACCACGTTTCCTCTTTTTTTAAATACATAATTTTCTAAGATACTCGATCAAAAGCCAGGGTAACGAAAATAGAGTAATCTTTAGATCCTTTCACTTGCATAAATATTTGCTCTGGTTTTTGGGATAGTCATCACCATTTTTTACAAAAACACTGTTCCTTTTAAGGTTATTGACTTCAACTGGAATTTCACCAAGACCAGGATCCAAAACTGTCATACCTCATTACCAACGAGTCCACATCAGACAGTCACAAAAATACCCCCACCCTACTGGAACTGCAACAAATGGAAAAAAGGAGGAGGGGAGAAAAGAAAGAAGGGCTGGGAAGATGAAAGGAACACGTGATGAAAACTGAATTTTCATTTAGAACATAACGCTCTCTCATGTTCCCCACCACTAAATTCTAGAAATCCCAAATCTATGTTCAGCTCTAATGCAATGCTGCAAAGTGCAACGGAAAAGGACATCAGATGCTTTTTCCATGATGTACGGGTAGAATTTTATGCTGCCAAGTGGGAATTTCAGGAATGACAAAAGAATGCATGTATGTTTGATTTAATGTGTCAGCACCAACAATCTGTCTCGTATGTAAACCAATTAGTAGCTTCTTATATTGGCAATACAGTGATGTACGTGCAAAACAGGAAAGCTCAGTGACGTAAAAGAACAGATGAGCTTGTGGTTGTAGGGCTAGAGCCAAAGCCCACCGAAGTCAATGGGTAGCTTCCCCTAAACCACACTTCGGAGCTTCGGTTTAAGCAAGGCTCTGAGCTGCTGCTCAGCTGTGGGGAAAATTCAGCACTACAAGAAATGCCAACCAGAACAGAGAGGACCTGTGTGCCTACAACAGTTAGGCAGAAGCTGGGTGGGAGACAGCAGTGCTGGAAACGTTATGCAGACGCTACGCATATTCCTCTGCGCTCCCCAGCGCCCTGGCTTTGGATACTATCTGCTGAGACACTTTGGGATGGCCTGAAGTGTCTCAGAAAGCATGAGAGATCAGTCCATGTGACAGAAATACTGAGACATTGTGGAAATAAACAAAGAAATGGGTAGCAGTTTATTATTTGAAGCATGACAAGGCGGAGGACTGGATATGGTATTCTTAAGCATCCTACACATCACCAAAAAAAAACACCAACCCATCCAGATAGATTCAGAGACCAAAATTCTGTAAAATGAGGGGAAAAGTCCTCACCTTTGGAGGGGAGAAGAGATTGAGAGGAAATGGTAGACAGAAGCTTTGAGACATTATGTTTGTTTGTTGGGGAGTTTTTTTGTTTAGTTGCGTTTTTTGTGGGGGAGGTTTGCTGGGTTTTGGCTTTGGTTTTTGTGGTTGCTTTTTTTTGTTTTGTTTTGGTTTGTTTGTTTGTTTGTTTTTTTAATACAGGAGATATATGCCACAAGTCCAGTTCAGCAAAGCATTAAAGCATGTGCCTAATTCTTCTGAAGAAAGACAGATTTAAACTCATGCTTAAGTAGCTGGCTGAATTATAGCCAAAACACGGCAAGTAATTGGTCATTTCATTCAGTCTGTTCTAGAAAAGGCATTCTGTGTCAGCTAAACTAATGAAGAAGTTTCTCAAGATGTATTTTAATCACTTTTCCTATAGTGTGCTGACATCTAGTGGCCTGAAGTCAAAACACGAACTAATTTTTCACCAAAACTTTTCTTAGATAAAAGCATCCTCTTCAACAGCAGAAAATGGTTCTTGTCCAGTATTTTCTTTAATGCCTTCCAAGTTTTGAAAAAAAAAAAAGGAAATATCTTTTCCAAGCTGGTAAAAACATTCAACTTCTTTAATTTCACAATTTAAAGCAAAAGTAATCATCTAGTGATGAAAAGTTGAACCAAAAAAGGACATTACTGATGGCTGTATTCCTTTGCCCTTTAGACTGTTCTGTGAAGGCAAAATCTGCATTAAAAATACACATTTGATAATAATATATCTCAGCAACTGCCATTTAATCCTGCCTCTGCCAATATCATAGACAGCTTTTACACTAATATCCTCATTTTATCTATACTGCAGATAAAAGACTGGAAGTTAAATTCTGCTTCCATTTACAACTTGACTTCAGTTTCAGCAGTGATGTTGTCACTTGCATGGACATGAAAACAGAACTCAGCCTGGTTCTTCTGACGTACACACCGGATTTCATTCCGAACAAAGTGATTTAGTTTTGCAAGCCAACTGTTTGAATCCTAAACAGAAAATTCGTCAGATGTCACTTGCTAACACAGAATCACTGGAAAAAGTTACATTAGAAGGGAACTCTGGCAGTCATCTAGTCCAACACTCCCCTGCTTCAGAGTCAAGTCACATTACGCAGGTCATGGTCCAGTAAAGTTCTGAATACCTCCAGAGACAGAGATTCAACAGTTCCTGTGGACATATATCTTCTAAATTACTACATTTTGTGAAATAAATAAAAAAAAAAAAAAAGATACGCCACATTCCACACGGCGGAGCGGAGCACAGTTACAGAATGCCAGATGTCTCTTCTGAGTTGCCATCACTCTCAGTTCAAGCAGATGATCTTTGTCTACAAAGCCCCTTTTAATTTGGAGTTTGATTGTTATACCAAACCTGTACTGCAACGGCTGCTCTTGCTGTGCAGTCATAAATGCCAGAGTCAGGCAAGGGTGAACGATTCCCATTTATGGGACACACTTCTTAGAGAAAAAGGCAGATCACATTGGTGAACTTCACTGCATCGAGGTTTTGGGGAAGGGTGTGTCAAGGCTCTTAACTAACAGTACCAAGGTTTCTCTTATGATAGTATAAAATAATCCAGGGAAGAGCTGTGGACAGATGGCTGGATAAGTTATTCTCACAGCTTTCACTAACGGCCACGCTTTTTTGATTGCCTTGCCAAGGTTAAATTGAATCCACTTTATACTAGTAACAGTTGAAGTGTGCGTCATTGAACATTCACTAGACTAAAACACAAGATCTCTCCTACACCTGTGAAGCAGAACACATACAAACACATACACGCCAACTTATATCTTAGCAAGTTAGTAACTTCCACAACCAACTTAACTATGTTGTAACCCAGCTACAGAAAATAAGTATTTAGCATATACTGAAAACCCCACAGTACCTTGAACACAAGTTTATCTCCACCCAGCCCAGCTTCCAGGAGACATGAAGCAGAAGTCCACCCACTAATGTCTGCCACCTAAAGTAGAAACAAAACAGCATCTCTGAATTGTTTGCCCTTTTTAACCATGTCGAGCATGACCTTAGAATTCAGAGAATTTCTCACAGCACACCCAGGACTCCACTTATCTGTCATTTCTCTGGGTTTCCAGAGATACCACTATTCCTCTTTGAATCTTTCATTTTTGTGGGCCTTCATTTCCTGCAGATTTTCTAATACTCTGGTTCTTCCCCCTCCTGTTTCAAATGTTCTATAAATTACCATCTACCATAACTATCTTAGTCATGTTACTGAATCCCCATTTTATCATCTCTTCCCACACAAGATTTACAATAATAATAGTGATTACAGCCATGACGATCTGGAGATGCAAGTGAGGCAAGGTTTGTGACAAGAGATTAATATCTTTTCATACATAAACATTGTTAGAACAAATAAACATGACTTCAGGATTCAAAGACTCACTTGAGCTGAAGTAATAAGCCCTAAGGACGGTGTGTGTAGTCCTTGTAGTTTCAAACATTACCTCTTGGACTGCCCATGGTTATTTGTGCTGGCCTTAAATTGCAAACTCCCTCAAACTCAGACTGCTTTCCCCCCGTCCCGCTACAACTTGTGTAGCGAGCAGCAAGGGAAGTGTCATCAACCATAACATCATTACACTGCATAAGCCTCTGATTCAGAGCCTCTAGAGAAAACATCTCTACAGCCAGACAACCTTGCATATAAACCACAATACTGTGGTTTTCTCATTGGAAAGGTATATAACAACTACATACATTCTGCACTGACTTAATTATCTAATGACTTATCCTACCACAAAGGCATTCCTTAGTCTATTACGGAAATAGCATGTGAGGCCTTAGAAGTGCTTGCATATAACTTAAAACTGGTAGTGATGCACACTGGGTTTTGTTTTTTTTTTTTTTAAAGCTTTAAAGTAAGTTATTATCTTCCTTCTTCCTTAAGCTAATGGTTTTCAGAGAGGTGTTTCATGCTTCTTGGGTGAAAAGGGCCCCCTTTAAGTACTGGAAGGCCGCTCCGAGGTCCCCCCGGAGCCTTCCCTTCTCCAGGCTGAACCCCCCAACTCTCTCAGCCTGTCCTCACAGGGAGCTGCTCCAGCCCCCTCAGCATCTTCGTGGCCTCCTCTGGACCCGCTCGAGCAGGTCCGTGTCTGTCTTGTGCTGGTGCCCCCAGAGCTGGACGCAGCCCTGCAGGGGGGTCTCACCAGAGCAGAGCAGAGGGGCAGAGTCACCTCTCTCGACCTGCTGGCCATGCTGCTGGTGATGCAGCCCAGGATGCCGTTGGCTTTGTGGGCTGCGAGCGCCCATTGCTGGGTCATGTTTCATTTTTATCCACCAACACTCCCAAGTCCTCCTCCACAGGGTTGGTAGAGTAGGACTGATGGTTGGACTTCATGTTCTCAGTGGTCTTTTCCAACCTGAATGATTCTATTCTACTCATCCCCCAGCCTGTATCTGTGCTTGGGATTGCCCCGACCCAGGTGCAGGACCTTGCACTTGGCCTT